TTGGTATAATGTATGTTTGATCCTTCTAACCTGTTGATTGTAACTTACATGTTACTGTTCATTTTAATTATCTTGAAGACAGTACTGTGTCTGTACTAAGCTTGAATAACCAACAGGGGGCACTGTGGCCAAACACATTCCAGCCCATAATGCTCCAGACTCCTTTCAGTGTGTGTTGGAATGAGATGTGCTTGTTTGTGTAGTAAAATAAGGGAGATTGCTGTGTTTGTATCTGCTAATGTTGATAATATGTGTGTTCAAGGAACACTGCTGAGGCAAGTGTTCATGTATACAGTGCAGCACATGTCCAACGTGCTCTGTGTACACGGCTGACTGTCGCGCTGTGATCGTGAGTCTTGTGTATGTTAGATTTAGTTAGTGTACACAAGCATGACTGTGCTCATCCTCCAGAGGCTGGTGGTTTTTAGGCTGGCTGTCAGCGCTTCCCCGTGTTATGTAGTTTAAGAGGAGCTTAACCAGCATTACTGCTGCATCATGTACACGGCCATCAGCCCACACACTAAATGACACACTCGCACACTTGGATGTCATCACAAAATCTGTTCCCACCAACTTGTCAGGTCAAACATTTCATGCTGACCGTGTGTGTGTGGCGAGTAGTGTCTTTATCCTGAGAGGCTGCTTTCATTTTGTAAAAACAGCAGGTTTTCTTTTAGTAACTGGTTTTCATCTGTGTGTGTGTGTGTGTGTGTGTGTGTGCACCTGAAGGACAGAGTGTAGTGCAGCCTTCAGTATTGATCACATGAAGAAGAGCTGCCAGACTGTACTCTACGCAGCAGTTCTGCTTTCATTATTCGTGGAGAGCCGTTTTTAAAATGTCAGCTTGTTCACTGGTATTTTGGTTTTGTACCCGGAAAGCCAATTGACTTGAGAGGAGGGGAAAAAGCCCTCCTGACAGATTGAATACAGATGAGACAACATACTCAAAGTGTAACTATTCATTAAAACACTTGTGCACGAGTGTTTGCTGGCACGCCAGGGGGATGAATGCATCTCTGTGCTGTGGTTTTTTTTTGAAAGAAGATTTCATGGTATGTCAGTAGCTGCGAAGTGATACATAAAGAAATGCTATGGTTCATTATGGTATGTGCCACTGCTGCTGCAAAGATTTGTATGCTTGTTATGTCCCATATTGTGTTTTCCTCTTTTGTACATATGTCCCAGTGCAAAGAGTCAAAAGCACTGAATACCATCTAAAAAAATATGTGAGGAGGGAAGAGAAAATGTGATTATTAACCCATCGTAGTTTCCTTTTGTTTCAGCTTTATAAGGGTGCTGTGGGAAAAGTTATGCTTCGCTTTGTGTTTTCTGCTGCAGCTTCTTTTCTTTGTGTCTTTTCATTACAAATGAATGTTTCTCAGCTCTAGCAAGGAGAGTTATTATTTTTTTAAGCTAACATATGAGGCTCCATTAGGCTACATTATGCATTTTGACAATTTAAAAGCTAAACAATTAATTGGCAATTAAAAAAACAATGACAATGAAAACACTTTGCATAAACTGTCCTCATCTGGCTGTCCCCTGCAGCACACTGTGCTCTGTCTAATTCATGCTTTGACTGCTGAAACCCTCCGTTTTAATCTTCACAGAACATGCCGAATGTCAGGGATCACGATGCGTCAGTGTACCTGCGCCTCCAAGGTGACGCCCTGTCTGTGGGTGGCTATGAGCACAACCCCATCTTCTGGGATGAGGTAAGCTTGAATATCGTCCAAAGATTAACCATCTCACTCTTCTGTCGGGAGCTCCGTTATTGTGGAGCCTCACGTACCGACCGTCTGTGTGCCCGAGTGATGCATGACATAACGTCTGGCAAAAAACAATCGAATATGTCGATAGGGACGCTGAACAAACTTTAATCCTGTTTGTATACTTCTCGTTCTCTGTGTCATTTTGACCTCCTCGCTTGTTTAGACTCCTTTTTCTTTTTAATGTCTTCATTATTTGCTGGTGTATTAGCTTGGAGGTCAAACCGTATTCATAACAACGCTTATAAAACGCTCTGTGTGTTCACTAATCTGTGCCACAGCGATGGGAAAAGAAAGAGCTTGTACATCTTTTATTCAAGCAAAGCAGCAATATTGTGATTTAGAATAAGTAGCAAAGTTTGCAAAGTAAAAGTGCAGAAAATGTAAGAAAAGTAGAAAATTCGAGGAGGTGTGCTTATTTGCTTCCTAGCCAAGAGCTGGATAAGAAGACTGACCACTTACATGCCTGTAACCATGAGACAGCTGCCAACTTAGCATGAGGAGTGGAAACAGGGGAAACGGCCAAACTGGCCCTGTTCAAAGGTAAAAAAAAAACAAAACATATCTGCAGTAAGGCTGCCTCATTTGCCCAGAGCATATCATGTTTGCATAACACTTACATAAAGAGAAATGTCAATATGAGTATTTCTGGTTTTAGGTGGAGGCATTAGAGAGATGTTAATCCTCACATCTAACTCTGTCAAATAAAACTTAATAAGCTTATTTGCAAATATGTCAGACGTTGTTTTTAGTAAAGAAAGAAACTGTGTACTGTGCAAAGTGCATTTAATAATTTCCAAGATTAGAATTGTACCTGATATGATTTTGGCCGCCGTCCCTGCAAAAGCCGTCTCCTCGTGCAGCGATGCTCTGCTCCCAGAGCTCCTGCAACACTTGGACCACCATCTGTTCTCGCCATTTAAACCCCTCCAGTGTGTCAAAACAGCGACTCCTCAACTTGAATTCCATTTTGGGGACGAGGAAGAAGTTGCAGTGAGACAAATCCAGCCAGCACAGTAGATGGGAAGTGACAGAAAACCCATGCGTAATCACCTGCGACCAGTTAGAGCGCCCACATGCTGTCGCGCCGCAGTTCCGACTGTTAGCGCGTAATGACCTCCCTCGGCTGCTAAAGCACAACTCTGAGTCCACAGTCTGACCTTGGGGGGACCAGTTCTTGGTGCACAACCGCATGAATATTGAAGAAAACAGCGAGCGTGCTCCTGGCTGCTCCTGACCTTGCACCTTTCCCAGTCACAGGGGCTGCACCTCGTCCACTGTGAGCACTGCTGTTGCTTCTCTGTGTGGTACCACCGACCCACCTGTGGTCGTCACTTACGTCACTTAACCTTGGCGTGGTTCTACAAAGTGCTTTATGATGTGTTTCTCATTCACCTACCATTGGAAGCCACTTAGGGTTCACTGCGCTGTTTTACTGTCGATAGTTCAATGTCAGATAGTCTGCTGACTTTATTGAACGCCTCATACACGCCAAGAGTCTCTGAACTTTTTGATTGCACCTCAAATGCATCTGTCAAGTGAAGTCGCTCTAATTTATATAGAACATTTAGAACAACAGAAGTTGACCCAAAGTGCTTTCCATTTGAGATAAAAGATTAATATTGCGCATTTGCATGAATAAAAGAAATGAAAAAAAGTATGAATAGTCATATCGCGGCACTTTAAATGTTAAGGTCAAGACCTTGTATTGTTATGGAGAGAAACCCAACAATTCCCTTTGAGGAAGCACTTAATGACAGTGGAGAGGAGTCTCTGCTGGTGCACTGAGGCAAGGCAGTGGTGCTGAATAGAAAGAGATGATAACTTAAATTGTTTTTCCACTCTAATGACAGGGTCTAATGGATTCGGTGTCTTTGGTAGGTCCTGCAGAAAGGGCTGGCTATCAAATTCAGGTCCGACTAAATTTCTAAGGTCAGACTAAATTGTGTCCACCTACACTAAACCAGTTTGTATTAATATTTAAAACTAATGCCGAACTCAAACACTGAAACTTGTGCAGAGACGATGCATTTGAAAAGTTTTATTTTTTTGTGTAAAAACTTTTTATTGAAAATCACGCTGCACAAGCGAAGTTACGTAAACGGCACTATTTTGTCATCCGTCTCCAAAGTCTCCCATTTCTTATTGCCTCCACACGAGATATTTCATTTCTAATAGGCAGATTGATGAGCGTGATACATGCCCCTCAGGAGATATAAATCCATTTGACGCTAATGACCCCATACCTATTCTTTTAGCACCACCCACCACAAACTTTGTATTTTTAGCTGCGCTGCTGGTGAAATCTCTTTTAGTGCAGCATTAAAATCAAAGTATTTCCGTAAAAGACTGAAATTGAAGGAGGCTACGAGGACCAATTATTCGAGCAACACTTTGGCAACTATAAAAAGTAATTGTACCGGCAGTTGATCTATGCAAAGGCTGATTGTTGAAGACGTTGGGAGGGTTGACAACTGATCCTTTGAACTGACAGGTGGTGTTGGTCCTAATGGGTATGTACACTTTCTCAAGGACATCCTTTCCCGTTTGAGTTATTCATTTATTCCTTTAAATATGTGGTCCTAGCATACAAGTTAATCCAACAGCATTTACACTTTAATAAAGGCTTTAGACGCTGTTTTGTTGCAGGGCATTGACAAATATCTTCTTGCCTGCCAGACTGACTCCACGACTTTCTGTCCTTTCGTCTGGCTGCTCGTCTGTCTCCAGACTCCTCAGTGGTTTTACATTTTAGAGGATCCCTTTGTGCAGAAAACGGCTCCTTTTGTTCTCGTTCTGCAGCTGAGCGTTTGCTTTGATGTCTTGAGGCGGATGGGAGGAAGAAAGAGCAGATACAGAAAGGAGAATTAGCACGGAGACGGAGAGAATGGGAGATGCCTAGCGAGTGAAGATGAGCGGGATTGATGGCTCGGGAGGGATTGGAAGAAGTGTGGTGTCTGGGACAAAGAGCGCTCCTCAGATGCTCCCGTCGAGTGTCAGCGCCCCGTAATAATGCAGAACTCTATCTTCACATGAAAGCGGCTACCGTCAGCTCAAACATCTGTGTGACATTCAAGTCTTAATCGAAACTGAACGTGTCACAACTGACGCTAATTATGAAGCCACAGGAGCTCCTTTTGTTATGCACTCCTGCCTAACTGCAGGCTTCCAACTTAAAGAATCACTTATATTTAACATTTCAGAGAGTAGCTTAACGCTGGTGTTCAGTGCGATTCGTTGAGTGTGTCAGCTATGAATCATTTTTAGGAATTGGGAATTTTTATTTCACCGTGAAGGCGCAAGGACAGAGAAGAGTCAAGTGGAGGAATGATGGGATCGGCGCCAGAACACAGAGAGAAATACGTGACAAATAAAATTGCTGCACAGAGCACAAGCTCGTGCGCTGGACTTTTCAATTTTGAGCGCCCCTGAGTCAGCCAGATTAGTGTAGGAGGGGGAGAATTTTAAGGCAAGGCGGTCCGCGCTGCTGGTCATGAGTTGTAGGAGCTAAAGGCTGCATTTCGGTCCGACTGACAGGGAGGGAGTCGCGGGAGTCCAGATGGGAGCAAATTAAGGCTTGGACAAGAAACTGAGAGGGCATGGTGTGATTTGACAGATGTTTCCCTGCTGAGAAAGAGTCAGCTCAACAGATGCTACTGGATGTGTTGTGGCTTCACTGTGTGCCATCACGTGATAGACTGACAGCGTTCCTGTCAACAGTAATAGGGAGAAAAGGGAAAAAAAGGGCTCACCAGTGTTGCTGTAATTGGCTGTGAGTTGATGCAATCAAACGTCACTGCAGTAGATTCAAATTAAGTATTTTCATTTTTAAGAATTCTGGAATCTTTCTGTGTTCATTTTGCATAAAACAACTAGTAGAACCTGAAAGAAACATATAAAGTCTCCCACCATTGTCTACATAAGTGGGATTTTAGCTGCTAATTTGCATTTTCGCACAAATTTTCCCTTCCATTTTTCTCACTGGATGTGCTCCCTGTTTATGAAGATCAGAGTGTTCCTCAAGCAGAATACATAATTTACTTGGGAACATGAAATCAGTGTGAAAATGAGTTTTAAAAATGTGTGTGTGTTGTTTTTTTTGATTAAACATGGCAAGAAATTATCCTTCAAAACATCCTAGAATATGCAGCTGTGTTTTTTTCCCCCCAGTATTAGAAGAAAACCTTGGCAGGTTTACAAGGTCATGGGAAGAAAAGTAAGTCATGTATTCCTGTGTGTTTTATTTCCCAGGTGTCTGATAAGTTTGCCTTCAGCCTGTTTGATCTGGACTGGGATGTATTCATGCAGCATATCGAGGGAGCAATCAACAGAGTTCCTGTTCTGGAGCAGACTGGCATTAAGTCCACCGTCTGTGGACCAGGTACACAAACACGCACATACAGTTGTGTTTCCATTATGTCATGGTGCATTGCATTTATTGTGGTTATTTCCTGGAAACTTAAGGCCAGGTCATGGTTTCCACATCCACTGGTGCTGACCAGTGCAGGTTTTGTGTGTGGTGGATGCACACGTCAATCTGCAGACGGTTGCATTGCCCATCGCAGTGAACACAAAAAGAACAAACAGCTTTCCTGTAGATGTCTGGCATGACTTTGTCCTTTTCGCAGGACATAGCAGCTAGTTACAGATCGGGCTGTAGCAGTGCGTCATTGATTATTCCCGACGCGTGCCAAGTGCTATGAGATAGCCTGCTGTTGGAGTTTGTTGCCTTCCCGTCCCGAGCGCAGTGGGCGAACATAGCACAGGATTTCTAGAGAATTTGGAGCTTCCCAGTGTGTTCTGGCACCATCGATGGAGAGCATGCACAAATACAAGCACCTCCAAAGTGCGGCTGCAGCTACTCCAGTTACTACTGACGAATTATAAAAGCGTGGATGATGGCGAATCTCCGAGCACAGCCTTGTTTTTAGGACCATTTATTTTCCTTCCGTTTGCACAGTTGGCTTGTTGTAGTGTGTATCATGCATATCGTCAAAAATTTTGGCCTGCTCATGGATGTCTGTAGAGGGGTTCATATCGACTCTCGTGGACTTGAGCAGATGACAGAATTTCTGTTATGCGAGCATACACGAATTGGCATTTCCCGAACACTGTCCTTAAAAATAACAACCACCTGCCTCACTCTAATCTTCACCAGAACTCTACATCAGTGATGCAAATTTTAAGCAATTTGCTTCACCGATAGTCAGCTGTGTTGTCAGTCAGTAATCAATTAATCATGAACATGAATGAGGTAGAAAGTAGATGCAGGTTTTCTAACTGTGGACACGTGACCTTTGCTGCACAAACGGCTCGGTTGTTCAACAATTAGCATGAGGAACACTGCGCTAATAGACTCCAGCTCAACTTGACAACATGATCTCTGGCCAGATGCCTTTAGATTAGATTAGATTCAACTTTATTGTCAGTACACATGTACAAGTACAAGGCAACGGCATGCAGCTAGCATCTGACCAGGAGTGCAAGAGTATAAAGTGCAGATGTATTGTTTAACTATGGTATTTACGTGAATATACGGCATGGTGTGTATTTACAAATGGACATGTGCAAACTGTATCTTTGGTGCAATGGACAATAAAACGGTGCAGTGGAGATTAGAAAGGCTGATGCATAATCTGTAACAGTAGTAAACAGTAGTTACAGGTCAATGTATAATTAGGGCAGATATTAACCTTTAACCATCTCAGAAGACTTTGTCATGATTGCAAGTCAAACTCAACCAAGCCTCGTCGGTCAATATATTTTTAAATTGGTTGAATTTTTAACTGCAATTAAATCACTAACACCCCTAGTCCACATACTAAAATGTTTTGGGTTTTGTATTTTTTTTTTGTCCCAGAAAAGGAGCCTCGATTTGGCTGCCTAAACAGATTTACGTCCCCGCACCAGGAGTGGTACAAATAGACGCACACCGTGAAACTATTTCCATGGAAAAAAATCTATTTTTGAGAAAATCCTACAAACCCTCCCAGCAAATTCCTCACAACATTATGCATTGCAGCAGGGAACAAGCAACTTTCATGACACTTTTTTATATTGGACACATTCTCATTTAAAAGTGAAATGTACCCGTCTGTGAAATATCTCATTCACTCTCCCGTCCTGCACTTTCTCATGAATACTTAAGCTAGCAGGCTGTGTGTCATATTTGTAGAGGAGATAGTTTGATTAGCTCAAGCCTGACTTCCCGCGCAGTCAATGCCGCGTCGCCGAGCCGCCTGAGCGAGTCGACTGTGCCGCCCGGCTTCGGCATCGACTTGGATTTCTCATCACCGTGGTGTGATGCAGCTGTTTGGAGAGTCAGTGGTTTCTTATGATTTTTAGACAAGTGACACCTGCTAGATAGTTGCACACAAAAAACGCACAAATATGTGGACAGTGAGAAAGACAGAACAGAGGAATAGAAGGAAATCTGAGCGAGACAAAAACGAAGGGCAAAGCAGAGGAAGACAAACTGAGCGAGGAGTCGATAGCCGTGCTGTTGTTGCGCCCGTCGATTTAAGTCCAGCTGTTGTTTCATTTCATGTTCACACCGCGTTGAGCAGAAGACATTTCAGAATGAGTTTGCTGACTCCTCCACCGTATCTGGAGGAGGCTGAGCAGAGCAGAAAACACAACCATGATCTGAATGCTATGAGTTCCATAGGTGCCCCACAGGGAAAAATGTTTTAGTAGTTCTCACCTCCTATGGGCTTTATTTTATATACAGGAATACGATTAAGCAGATCAGTTAAAGGGTGAACGTGTTTTCTTTTGGCATAACAAGCAGGCAAATGTTGCTGATGAATGTATTCACGTATGTGGAGATAATGAATGTGTGCGCTTTGGCCTCGGTAAAAGAGGAGCGTGACCTCGGAGCTCCGTCTCTTCCTGTTCAGCTCAATGGGATAATTATATTACTTACACAGTAACTGTATGAACCTGCTGGACTTTCTCTCTGTTACATTGGGCCTAATTAGTGTCACAGGTGCTGTGAACTGGATTAATTTAAAACTCCCTAAATGGCAGCGGCAGTTTTATTTGTGCAGCGCATTTCATTGCCGTTATTAAAGTCAGTGTGCTTTACATGAAACGACATTATATCGGCATTAACGTGATTTAAATTGGGTAACGTAGACAATATGAATAAAATGATGATAACGATGAGTAAAATACAGAATCTGAAAGTGCATCAAACATACCACGCTGCCACAGAACCTCATAAACATCAACTAGAAACCCCTGTTCAAACACATAATCACACATTCAACAAGCAGTACAAGAAACAAGAGCTACAATATGTGCTTCATGCAGGTATGCAGGCGCACGGTAATTTGCCGTATCCCTGGTAAAAAGGAAAGTTTTTGAAAGTGGAAACAGTCGTGATGGACCTCGAGTCTGCAGGCATCTTGTTCCAGAGAGCAGGACTGAAGGCAGCTTCATCTTCAGGGCTGAATGATTTTCAATATCTAATTCCACTTTTCCTGACAGGTATTGCAATTTGATTTGCAATTTGATTTTTAACATTAAGCTTCACTGTATAAACTTTTATAAAAGGGACTTAGTATTACCCTCACACAAGGAGGACAGCGTTGTGAATCTATGGACGGGACAGTTTAAACACTGGGTCAGACGCGCTGCATCACATATATCCTGAACTGCAGCTTTTGTTATTTGCTCATTGAGTTATTGTGATTTAAATTTGAAGTCAATTACCTGTTTAACCTTAATTCAGAGTAAAGCTAGAGGACGTCCGCCAGATGACCTGAGAGGCCTGCTGGGGTTTTAATCAATGAGCTAGTCAGAGATGTACAGAGGGGCCAAATCATGAGGGGATTTAGAGACTATTAAATGGACTTCAGTATCAGAGGGATGTGTTCCGATTTCACTACAAATGAATGACCATCTGGCAGAAAAAAGGGCTAACTGTACCACAGAATAACTTTTGATGTTAAGTCCAGATTTCAGTTTTTCCTTTTTGGAAACAAAGTTTGATGTCATTATTATTTTCAATAATTAGATGCTAATGACATAGTAGTCACTAAAAATTGATTCCCTTTGTTCCTTAGCACAGCTCTGTCAAAGCTGCCTTTAAAAAAACTTCAAAGTCTTCAAAGCCACACATCATACCTACGATTTTAACACATATTGAAGCAAAAAAAGGAGGCTTTGTGGGCAGCCCAGCATTACAAACAGGAAGCTCAGTTTCAATATCGAGACAGATTTTGAAAAACCTAACCCTAACCAACTTCCAACCCACCTGTCACTCAAGCAGACACTTTAATTATGCATAACTTTAAGCTTTAATACAATATAAACGGGTGAGTTTTATAAATGTTAATCCCCCTCACAGGTGTCATAAATGTCAAATATAGCTATTAGAGACCAAATCTGTTTTTATACTAGCCTGTAAATATGTTTATTTCTGCTGTACAGTTGGGCGTTTTAACATGGAGGTCTATGAGGACTGACTCACTGTTAGATCCAGCCCCATGTGGCCGTTTGAGGAACTGCAGTTTTCGACTCTTTTGAGTTAAATTATTTGGAGTGTCAACAGTGGGACGTCCTTCAAATCTGAACAAATTTAAATAATGATGAATGTTGCTTTACCATTTTTGTGACACAACATATAAGTTAGACTAAATTTTAAATCAGACAAGTCACCGTTCTGGGCTGCACGGTGGGTCGGTGGTTAGCACCGTCGCCTCACAGTTAGAAGATCCCCGGCTAGGACGCCCGGTGTGGAGTTTGCGCGTTCTCCTTGAGAAAGTAATTGCTGTATTTTGCATTGCAATCCTCATCTCTTACCGATACAATAATCCTGTGTATGTGTTGTTGTCCAAGACCTCGCCAAAATAAGACGAACAAATACATTATGTCACACAAATTATTATTGGGTAAAGATACCTCTGTGGTAAGTTTGTGTCTCACCTTTTTTGTCCACTTTCATCCACAAAGTTTCTGTCTGTTTGTTTTCTTTTTCAGAGTCCTTCACAGCAGACCATAAGCCGCTGATGGGAGAAGCTCCAGAGGTCAGAGGCTACTTCCTGGGCTGTGGCTTCAACAGTGCCGGTATGTTCCTCAGAGATGGAAAGATCAAAGCAAAACAGAGGGAGAGATTTAAAGAAACACAAGAAAAAGAGAAATAAGGAGGTTTACAGAGAGTGTGCAGACATCTCTGGTTAGATTGTCAGTTCACAGACTCACCTAAAACAAATCGTATATGTCACTAAATGTAGTATTTGTTGGTTATTGCGGGTTTGTGTTTGTTCAGTGGCTATCCTAGATTCTGACCCAGCCTTCACCAATCTCTGTGGATGCTCTCAAGGCACAAATGAATAATGGAATGGTTTTCATTCTTCAAAGACACACACAAATACATGCACAAACAGCCCAAGTCGCTCCATTACTTCGCTCAAAGATGAGCTTACCTTTGACATTAGACAAGAAGAAATGTATCTCTGAAAAACAGAGAGCGAGGGGGCGTAAAGGGTAAAGCAATAACCGTAAGCACTAATAGGCAGTTGAAAGAAAGCTTTTTTTTTTCCCTCCTTCGTAAGAGCAGAAGACTACAGGGTCTGGCTCTTGAGTTGTTCTGACAAAAGCCGGGGAGGTGGAGTCCTTATGAGTGGGCAGTACGAAGCTCTCAACACTCACACAGGCCTTCTTCTTCTTCTTCTTCTTCTTCTTTCTCCGTCTTTTCTTTTCCATGCTTCAGAAGTGTGCTCGGATCCTTGCAAATTGAAGCCCGGTTGCTGCTGCTGCTGCTGCTCATGAGCACCTCCTCCCTCGCTCTCTTATTCCCCGACCACTTATCCACCAAACATTCTGTCCGTCGGTCTGATTGTAGCGCGTTGTTATCTACCGTCAGGGTAACAGGCGCTCATGTGCTCCCATATCTGAGCTGCAGCATCCCTCCATGCTGTGCCTGCTTATAAATTAAATCTAAACTGTTATGCTGTTAAGCGTTCAGGCAGTTATGAGAAAATTAATTGCCATTAATTGAGTTGTGTTTAAATATGATAATTTAATCATGGTTTATGTAACGTATAAACCAAAATATTCACCGGCAGCAGCCTTCACATGTGAGACGCTGCTTGTAAAGTGAATATCTTTTGAGCTTTGGACTGTCGGTCGGACAAAACAAATAGCTGGAGCATCACCTTGGACTTTAAATGGGATTTTTTTTGGACTATTTTCCTTGAGTTACAGACTCAGATATTTAAAAAAGAATAAAAATAATGCACCACTCATTTTTAAAATCAAATTAAAATTCACCTTTTTTACTTGAGCTCTACTAAGGGCCAAGCCATCAGGTGCTTTATAGACTGTTAGAAGGATTTTGAAGGTGAGTCTGTGTTGTACCTGAAGCCAGTTAAGTAACTTTGGTACCAAATTTCCATAAATGTGAATGAACACCTGTCATAAAAAGGGCTACCTGTATCCCTGCAGTAGTACATTGTTATGTTAAGTCCATATTGCTGTATTTATCTTTTTTAACCGAGTACGATGTTATAATTTCCAATAATCACTTACTAATTACACTTTAATCACCAAAAAATGATTCCTCTTGTCTCCAAAACAACACGTCATACATTTTAGCACATGCTGAAACAAAAAAGAAGGTTTTGTGGCCATTAATCGCCATCAACTGTGATAATTTATCACAATAATCAACAATTTCCCTGAGGTACCCCACCAAAGGGATCAATAAAGTTATATCTAATCTAATCTAATCTAATTTATGTGTGATTTATTTAGTTTATGAACCAAAAATCCAAATATTAACTGACTCACGCTGCTTCAACCGGCTGCCTTTCTCTGTTAGAAAATCATCAACAACACAGATAACTGAAGACATCACCTTGGACTTTAAATTAGATTTTTATTTTTTTGGTTTTTGGCTTAAACCTTTTTCAAAATTCCACTTTAACTGAAGTTTTACATTTTCTTCACAGTTAACCAAATTAAACCGTCTGAGTGAAGGTGGGCAGAATATCCCTCGTCCTTTAGTCTGTGTTTTAAATGCCACGCTGGGACTGAGCTCATTGAAATGGGCCCAGTGTCACCAATATTGTACCTGGTAAGTAGTGATTTGATAGTCAGTGTTTTTGCGCCGGCCGGGCACAGCGAGGACGGTCCACAGCCTCAGACACACTTTCCCTCTCAGCATCGACACACACACAAAGGAAACGTCGCTCGGCCGTATCCACTTTTCCCCACGTCGTCCCTTTTTTCACCCTCCCTGCATCCGTCTCTCTTTCTTCTTCTGCCTGTGTGCCCCACCGGCAAGAAAACAGCCTTCTGCCAGCTTCACATTTTCATTCTGCTCGGCTCACTCGGTTCCAGGCGAGACATGGGGAAGGGGGATATTTCAGAAACCGCGGGGTCAAAGTTAATAGATTCACAATTACAAAACAGAAAATCCATCATTGAATGCTCAATAAGTTATTAAGCCTCCTCACTTGCAGGATTTAATTTTGGTTTCTAAGCAGTCAGTAAGTCTTTTGACTGGTACAAGTTGTATTTGTTGCCTAGCAACCTTTGCTTACATATTCTTGTGTCAAAACCGTCGCGCTGAACACTTAACTTGCGGCGCGTGCATTTACTTTGCTATTGATTATGCTTCTTTTCTTGCTTTTAACTGAAGCACCTCTAGCCCGGCTCAGCTGCATCACCACTTTCCTCATAATCACGGTAACGACACCTTGTTATGTCATTTTCTGCTCAGGTGAGGCTTTTCTTCACATTATACGGCACAGAAAATTGCCCGTATTTAAGGATGTACACCACGCGAGGATAGAGTCAGTGATGCAAAAAGAAGCAGGACCTCATCCTCGTTGTGCTTTGGTGGATGATGTAGAGATAAACAGGAGGGCTGACGATGAGGGTCTGAAGCTGGAAGAGGAGAGTTTTTGAATCCTTGTCAGAAAAAAGAAGGAGAAGACGGAGGCAGTGGCTTGAAACAAGCTCATCTCTCAGTGAGCACAGCTTTGTTAATTTGAAAGTAAAAGGAGTCTAGATGTCAAAGCTGCAGCATTTCAGTGGCGATTAAAGGTAGTCAGGGTTTGCTTTCATTTTAAATCAGGGATGCACCATATCGGGTTTTTCAATATGTTGATGTTTTAAGCTCATTTGGAGCCAATTGCAGAAGTCGATACAGATACATGCACATAGTTAGACACAGAATTAACATATTATAATCTATACTCCTGCTGTGATGCCGTCCATATATAGAATGCAATACTTTTCAAATGTAAACTTGTGAACAAACATTTCCATACACTTGTAAAGACCATGTGTTTTATGGCAGTCTTAAGTTAAAACAGTTTTGCATTTTGTTCATTCAAGTCTTCTGAAAAAATGACAAACTGCTCGGTCAGAAATATTCATACTTGAATTTTGATGATG